ACCTTAGACACACTAGCAGGTTCCTCGTGTAGAGCAGTGTGCAAACACAGCCAGAACACAGTCATATGACTTTCTCTAGAATGCATACTGTGGATAAGCCAGTTATTTGAAACAGGAATAACTATCATGCTGTTTTACTAGGGCCGTTCTTCTTTTGCATTAGGAAATATTTAGGTATTTACTGTCCATTAATCAAAATGTGTCAGCTGGTACTTTACTAGACTTGGAAGTACACTTAAAAGTTTTTGGTTTAGAATTAAAAAACAATTTTCACAATAATAGGTTTAAAAAAAAATGATTTAACGCCATTCAGACAAGAAACATACAATAGCATTAGTTTAATTCATAATTATTTCTATTTGATCCAAAATAAGAATAAGCCAAGAATATACCCTTCAATATACCCAATCATGAGATTTGGGTCAGAAAGATTTTTTGGTTACACTTTATTGTAAAGTGTCATTGTTACTGTGTAATTATATATAGTATTTATATAATATTTATAATATATATAAATATTATAATTATTAAGTATTGAGCAATATTAATTCACAACATGTACTTACTATAGGGTTAGGTTAGGATTAGGGTTAGTTTGAGGGTTAGTTGCATGTAATTATGCATAATTTACTGTTATTACTATGGTAAGTACATGTAACATATGTAACAAGGACACTGTAAAATAAAGTGTTGCCGTTTTTTTTTATTATAAATAAATGCTTTCATTCATCAAGGATGCATTCAATTGATCATAAATGACAATAAAGATTTCTATTTCAAATAAATGCTGTTGTTTTGAACTTGCTATTCATGAAAGTATCCTAAAGAAAGTATCACAGTCTTCACAATACAAATAAGCAGCAGAACTGTTTTAAACATTGATAATAATAAGAAATCAGCATATTAGAATGATTTCTGAAGGATCATGTGACACTGAAGACTGGAGTAATGATGCTGAAAATTCAGCTTTGTCATCACAGACGAAGCAACTTAATTGGTCTAAACACCACAAAGGTTTATAATTGCAAGATGAAGATATGAGATCTACTCACAAAGTCATCCCCTGAATCTGCGCCCACTGAAGTGATGGACTCTTTGCTCATGGAGCGAGGGATGCGGCCTGAACGAGGGGCAGCGGCGCCTTCCTCTGCCAGCTTCTTCTTCAACTTTGCAAACATCTCAGTAGTGTAGATGTAGCCTATAGCCGTGTGTGTGAAGCAATGTTTTGAATGGCTCTCTCTCGAGACGCTTTAGGGTGTTCGTAATGCAGAACGGGTTATATCCACAGCATACGCAGAACTCATTCTGGGGTTTCTCTCTGCTGCCTTGACTCTGTGGAGACAATCACAACACTAGAATTACATTAGCAGAAGAAATTCACTACACTAATACAATCAAACAAGGCTTTTAAACAGCAGATACTTTTCTGAATAAAATGAGTCTCCTGTGCTTGAAACCTGCATTCTAAGAGTGAATTGTTTCGTATACAACACTGTCTAGTGTACAGCTGTTTATCTAGTTAGGGGCATATCAAAATAGTACTACACTTATATTGATACTCGACTTAAGAATTATTTAAAGCAGATGCATTGTTTTCAAGCAAGACATCGGCAATACAGTAGAGTTAAATACAAATATCAACTCATAAAACCAAATTCTGCGGCTCAATGTTTTAGAATAGACTACATGAGCAAAAAGACTCAATGTTGACTTTGCTTGACATGCTACATTGTAGTAAGCTAACCAGTGTCAGGTTTAATAATGACACGTAAGCTTGATGTCAAAACCATTCATCCATCACATGCTGACAGTGCATGACAACATCTAATTAAAACTGTCAAATAAAAAACGTAAAGCGGAGAAATAAGAGATAAATAGTAAACAGAGCTAGCTGATGTTAGCTCTCGTGCATCTTCCTTACTAAACCAAAAAAACATACAAGCGTGAACCTACCGTAACACCTCCATAAACTCTGAAAGAGGTGATGTTTATTGTGATGGAAGTGCACGTTTAACGCAAATATTTTTTTGCAGTCATTACATCTGTGTGTGCTGTTTTTTGTCGGGGCTAGCAACTGGCTAACTAACTTCACCACGTAATCTCCAGTCACCAGAATTCTGATGACGTTCCAGGAACAACTTGGCGATTGTACCCCGCGCTGATTGGACGATCGCAGGAGAGAGGCGTGGCTACATGTTCGCGTGATTTTATGTCAAATATGAAAGCTGTCAGACGTAGCATTGCTAAATATTAGACGCATAATATTATTCAAACATATAATGACACATTCATGTATTTACACTTTGTTTAGATGATTATATAAAATATTACAATAATAGTGATTGATTGAACGATTTTAACTACATATCCTACACTGATGTTCCGCAACAATGAAAGATGACCTATTTTTTATACACATTATTTGTGCTAAATGCATGCTTTCCTTAAGAAAAAGCCCCAAACGAAGACCCCTGCTGTAAATCACTTTGTTGTGAATATAGTATTGAATATATGAATATAAATTTAAATAAGTAATCCAATGTATATGAATGTATAGGGGAATTTTCAGAAACTGCTGTAAATCACTTTGTTATATGAATATAGTATTGAATATATGAATATAAATTTAAATAAGTAATCCAATATACGATGTATATGAATGTATAGGGGAATTTTCAAAAACTCACTTTTAATATAAAATGTCTGGAAATACCATATGAATTTACAGGTGACTTTGCATCTAAAAATAACAGCATTTCAAACAAACCTCAAATGACAGCAAAACAAAAGAAGGAAAGATAATAAAACAAGAAAGGATTTATTTATTTATAAATAAGACATTCAAGATCACTAGATGAGGGATAAAGGTTTTTTTGACAGTTGGCCATTTGTATACTCCGCACCATGTCCTTGAAAATGATTCTCATGTGGGTTGTGTAATCATGTGGACTGTTTTGGCCCTCATACTGTATATCTCTTGTTGGCCCATGCCTGTTACATGAGTATTCTGAGAAATAGCACTGTCCTTCACCAAGTGTTTCTGCTGTTAACATTGTGCATAATTTACAATGGCATTTGGAACTCTTTTCATTGTTTTATTATAATAATCACAACCTTTCAGTTATAAATATTAAAAAAATAAAAATAAAAGTTGTTTCAATTAAGGACAGAAATGTTTATAAATAGCCATTTGTTTGGAGAATCACTATTTCGAAAACCCTACGCCTATTATTGAGTCCCAGTCAATTCTCACTACTACATGTATTGAATTTCAATAGGCTATCCTTGTTTTATAAATGATCTAAAATCTAAAGGAAAAAAAGTATCAATGTAAACCTATATTTAAAAATTGAAATAAGTGGCCCAACAACACATTAAGTGACAATATTTACATATCTAGAAATAGCCTCCCACCATCACCCCTATACCGCCTTGCCTTCACCCACATTTTTGTTTTGTAGTCTGCCTTTTTTTTATTATTATTGAAGATTCATGGTTACCTCAGAAACATTTACACTCTAAAAGAAAGCCAGTTGTATTATAAAGGATCCCACTCACCCTGGACATCACCTGTTCTCCCCCCTGCCCTCTGGGAAGAGATACAGACTAATCAAAACCAAAACTAGCAGATTAAAAAGGGTTTGTCCCACAGGCAGTCAAATGCAAATTTCCCTCCTTTCACTTCCAAATACTATGGTGCAATAAACCTGCCTCTCGAACTGGTACCCCCACCTTCCACAACCAACTCACTCCATATTTGCACTATTTTGACATGTTATATTGACACAGAACACACACATACACACACACACACACACACACACACACACACACACACACACACACACACACACACACACACACACACACACACACACAAATATGTATATATATATATATAATGTATATATATATATATATATATGTATCTCATATTGTCATATTTATACATAGCATATATCTTTGTTATAATGTTTTTTGCACAAAGGATACCTCACTGTCTTATGTTTATGCTTTTTATATTTTTGCCAATCCTTGTGAGCTGCTAAACAGTCTTGCTGTTTTAATGACAACGACAATAAAGATCTGATCTATTCTATTCTATTCTATTCTATTCTATTCTATTCTATTCTATTCTATTCTATTCTATTCTATTCTATTCTATTCTATTCTATTCTGTCTCCACCTGTACAATGTCACAGCTCACTGCCAGAGCCCCAGGTGTTCGTCCACACATGCGTGAGATGTCCATATGGATGTTGGCCTTCACCTTGAAGAGGTCTCAAAACAGCAGGGATATGAGGGTGAGGCGTAAAGGAAGCTCTGTTTTAAAACTCTGTTTAGAACGCTGGCATTACAATCCATTAGAACAGTTGCACTTCTCCATCTTACTGGTATGGATGGCTCAGGATAGTGTCACATGCACCACAGAGTTGTTCCTCATTCTTTTGCACATGCAACCAGAAGATGGTGCTGCTGCTGATAATAACCTGACAGTGCTTGGCAACTGAAATCAACCCAGAGCTCCAAATACCACCACCACCACCACCACCACCACCACATAAATAAATAAAATTATAATAAAATAGAAAATAATTAAATTACTAAACTAGGGTCAGTGTGGTGTCTATAATAATCCCTTTAGAGTTTACACAACCTCATAATGGCAATAATTAATTGCTCATGCGAATGCAGAATGAAGTAGAATTGCTTGAAAATGTTGTTTTGAAAGTCCTTAAATATTTAGGAACGTGTTTTCCTATTTTTTTCTCCTCGGCTGATTCAACAATAGGCTGTAAAATGAAAATATTGAAACGATCGCCTGACTGCATGAACCAGCCAGATAGGTTTCGATGCGCCTGATATGAACCAATCAGACGCTTCACCGTCTATCAAGCGGTGAGAAAAACCACACATCACACTTCAGCGGTTATCTCATCTTGCATTCTGATTGGTCAGTGCGTGTGCCACTCTATTGCGCTTCGCTCCTACTACAGGTCGGTGTGGTGCGGATCAAACACCTTGCAGTCGGTTCAGAGCCATTGACAAAAAAGGGGGTCTCTCTCGGATATGGTGGAGTAGGCTACATCGGGGCGGCTTGGAAACCACCTGGTTTGGAATAACCCGATGGAAATTGGAGGACGGGGGCATTGCGAAGTCCGTCTCGAGGAGGTTTTCATGGAGCGTTGAGATTATGTGGTGGCTTGCCTTAATGATGTTTACATCTCCGGCTTTCCCATTCATCGTGTTTATGTGCATGGGGTTATCCGAGGCGGTTCATTCCTACGATGCGCTGCCGTTAGTACTAAGGAAATCTCGTGGAATCGCAGAAGAGCATCCAGATACGAGCGCGAACGAGTTTCCAGGATACCGGCTCGGTATTGTCGCATTGACACCAGCGCCCACGATCGCGTCCGCCAGAAAACCGATAAATGTCGCCGCACCAGCAGCCACCATTAAACCACCAACAACGGACCCCACCACCACCCCATCCCTGTCTAATCCCAGCTACATGGCCGCGTTTGATCGGAGGAGGCTCCGCTCTGTTGAAAAGCAGATGAAAGAAACGCAGATCTCTGATAATAAAGCAGACAGATCAGGCATCGTGCCCGATTTTAGTACAACCTCTGACAATTCTCAAGGTGAGTTCAAATGGATAGTGAAAGAACTGAAAACCAAAATTTACAAATCACATTTATGACAACAGAAATGCTATTATGATGAGGATATTCTTATTAAGCATAAGCCATGGGCCAACGTTATATCTAATCAGTGCGAACATCAGGCCTTTCCTGCTTCATAATCATGTACGGTATAACCATCATCATTCCTGCAGTCCGCCTCTCAGAAATCACTTCATTAGCATTCATAGCCATGCAACATGATATATTGATGAGGTATCGATTGCACGCTCACCTCACTCTTCTACAGTGGCGTAGGTTTGATTTTGAAATTGGACATCAAATATATTTTAAGTTTTGATCGATTATTGCTAGGGATATATCAGTGTCACTGGATATTGGTAGGGACACGTCCCTAGCGTCCCTACTAAATTCTACACCCCTGCTCTTCTATCTATCTATCTATCTATCTATCTATCTATCTATCTATCTATCTATCTATCTATCTATCTATCTATCTATCTGTCTGTCTGTCTGTCTGTCTGTCTGTCTGTCTGTCGTTCTATCTATTGTTGTATCTCGTTCTATCTGTCTGTCTGTCTATCTAATCATTCCATCCATGCATTGATTTTTTGACCTTTATTTTGTTTACATATCATTATTATATGTAACAGGCTCTTATGATGTCTAACTGGCCATTGATATAATATGGGAAATCATATTACAGTTTTTCTCAGTCGCTTTGGCTACATTTCTCAGATCAGAATTGAAATTCTCAAAACTACCTGTTCAATCTTCACATCATTGTGTCACTTGTGCACATCAAAAAAAGCAGTTTCTCATTTCTTTGAACAAGTTGCAAATGCTTTGGTACATCCATGCAAATGATTATGTACAATTCACTGCTGTTTCCATTATCAATTGCTTATGCTTATGTCAATGTTGATCAAAATGTATTATAATGGGTCTCTGTTGAATTGTCTCACCCCCCACAACATTTAGACATTAGTTCACTCTAAAAAATGCTGAATTTTGGGTCAAATATGGACAAACCCCAGGTTAAAAATGTAATTTAAAAATGCAGCGGCTGGGTTTGACCATATTTGCCCCAAAGTTGGGTTGAAACAACCCAGCAGTTTTTAGAGTATTCATAGCATAAGTCTTTACATGCAAAATGGTTGAACAAGTTGTCATAATCAAGCATATTTCTATACATTTTCATTAGACTTTTTTTTTCTAGATCTGTCCTGTTCACATTTCTTTTATCACATTTCTTTTTTTTTCTTTTTTTTCTGCTATGCAGTGCTGTCTTTTCCTTTCTGTATCGCAATGACATGGTCTGTCAACAAATTACACTAACAGTAGAAGCGTAAATGTGAATCTTGTCCAGTCTCAAACTCCCACATACACTAAGGTGTGTAACCTACAATTTACAATAATTGTCATCAAAACTTTAGCCATAGTTTACATCAGAACATCCCTCCAGAGTACACCGTTATATTGACTACATGACTAAGCATTTTGACTGTCTTATTCGTACACAATGACACAAGGACTTGTCATTCTGATGGCACTGACATGTTCATTGAGACTGATATTTACTTTTGAGAGATGATCTAAGGATTTTGAGCAAGAGACTGGCTTTTGCAGGAAATCCATGGTGTTTTGCTATTTGTACGAATTGTTTTGAGAAATGCACTTACTGTTTTACAAATGTCGAGGATGATTTGAGAAATGTACCAAATCTTTAACCCTTCAGTATGAAGCGATTCAGGAGCTGGGCTTTATCAGGTAAAGGACATCAGCTAGTATTTCCAGTATATCAGCCAGTATTTCCATCTGGGATTGTTAACATTTTGTATTAGAATGGTATTTTTTTTTAGTGTGTTGCTAGTAGCTGTTAAGAAAGAAGGACTGCAGATTATCCATTATGTGTGTGTAAAATAACCAGGTCACACTGTTAATGAGACTGAGGTCTACATAAATCTTGCATTTACATAGTCGTTTGGGTGTACCAATTGTCCATATGGAAATATCTATAGACTTGGCCTACTTTTCCATAATAATGCTAAATCCCCAAGACAACAAAACTGACAGTTACCACCAGTGCACTGATAAAAGGGACATTGACCCCCGTGATTTTACACTGCATTTGCTTAGATGTTTGTAGACATTTAGAAACCTTTACTCACTTTCAAAAGAACAACAGGGGGGACAAAGAAGAGCAGCTGGATCACAGAGGGGTGTTTCTCCATAAGGACATTTTGGCTAAATTTGCTTTCTCGCACTAATCTTCAACCACATTCCCAAACAAAATGCAAGAAATGATACCGAAAAAAAAAAACACTAATATATTTCCAGATGAGTAATGTACCACAGATGTTTAACCCTTCTCTGGCCTGTCGTTATGATTAGACATTCCACAGCTATTGTTCCTTATGGCGAGGTTATAATCAGGGGAGACAATGTCCACAAAAGCATAGACTGTCTAAGCCTGCTGTTATTAGGACACAGGAAGTGCTAGGGAAGCCCTTCACATAACAGAACCTCTGCAGGGCCCGAGAAAGCGGCTAGAAATTGAGAGTGGACACTAAATACTTCCATTTAGATTGATATACAACAGGCATCTTGTAAAGGTATCCAAAAATGTTCAGAAGGCATTTATGACTGAGGTTGGGCAAATTCAGAATTTAAGACTTTTTTTCCATTCATCAGTTCGAATTTTGAACTTAATTGGCCATGCAAATTGAATGTTGAACTGGATTTTTTTTTTAATTACATTGAGAGGAAGAGGAATTTATTGAATTTACATTCAAATATTTTATTAGTCCAAAACAACAAGATCAAGAAGAGATACGATCCTGTAATGTATCCTGTAAAAAAGTTTTTAATCCTGTTTTTAATGCTGTTTTTAAATGAACTTTCTATAAGAAATTTAAATCATACAGCATCATCGTTGAATTTTTCTGAATGAACGACCCATGTTATCATACACAAAACATATGGAGTATTTCCAGAAACATATTTTATACATCATATCATCTGTTTCTGGAAATCCTCCATATGTTTTGTGTGTATAGTACTCCATATGTTATGAAATACTCCATATGTTTTTATTGTGTATAATGTGTGAAAAAATGCTGCTGCAATTAGTTTTCTCAACTTAAAATTCAACATTAGATTAACTTACCTTAACACTTTGTTTAATCACAACAAAAAACACTACATTTTAAGTTGTGATAACTAATTGCAACAATATTTTTTTACAGTGGTGTTATTTTAGTATTATTCATTTATACTATTTATTAATATTTTTAGTTTAGTTTATTTGTAGTTTTCATTTTCATTTTAGTTTGAGTTTTAGTAATTTTGTTATTTGCTTTTGTAATTTTTATTTATTTACTTAAATGATAAAATTACTAAAACTAAAGATAAATAGAAATATTTAGTACTTTAACTTATTTAATTTCAGTTAGTTGCCAGGAAATGCCAGGGCAACATTTCTAATTTTCATTTAAATATTCATTTTATAGTATTTACATTTCATTTTATTTCAGCTGTATTTCAATCAATGAAAAAAAAAAGTTTTATTTTTAGTTAACAATAAGAACACATTTACTGTATGTAAATTAAATTGTTTAAATTAAATTAATTTGTCTCTGGAAATTTCCGTTTTGTGTATGATGGGTCGTTCACACAGAAAGATGAATTTATTATTGCATGGAAACTACAACAAGATGCAAATTCTTTTACTTTTATTCCATTTTAATTTAAAAGGCGTTCTTCTTAAAACAAAAGGTGTTTCACTCCTAAATGTTGCACAACCCTATAAAATACATCTGTTCGTTTTACTAATCCAGACGCATTTGCAATAGTCAGAGCTTTCCTCTTATGCATAGGACTTTAGCTAGAGGGGCATCTGAAATATTCTAATGGAAACAGATAAATCCTTTATGATGAGTATGATTTTAGAGGTGAGCGGGTTTGACCTACATGCTAGCAGCTGTGCATTAGATGGCCCAATGAACTCTCTTTGCCCCCTACATTTGATTCGAGTCTGTGTGCCGGAGTGGGATGAGTGCCATTTCCACTGGAACTAATGGACAGAAGACTGACTCTTTCACACTGACACCTTTGTCATGTGCTCTTTCTTTTGTTGTCTGACACCCAGTGTCCGTCTTGTCTTTTAGCTTCATATAACATCGAACGACCCCTAATATACAACGGCACATCTTCACAGTAAACAATGATTAGTTCATGTTTTTATTTACTTGATGGTTCATTATCGTGTCACGTCTGAGGTCAATGAAGCCACATCGCATTTACCTCACATCAAAGGTTCATCCTCTCAGATGGTTCAGTTGTAATCGCACTGTCATATTTAATAATTTCATGATTTTGTCATAAAGCGATGAGTCTGGTCGGCAGCCTCATTTACATGGATGTATGCATAATCTGTCAGACTGGGATCTGTAAGCTTCTTATCCGCACCCTCCACGGCCCCCCTCAGGAGCAGAAGGTGTTTACGTACACACTCCACAGCTCCGTGTGTTAGAAGGTGTGTCTCGGTGCATACAAATGATGCTTTTCCCTTTCGGCAGGTGCCCCTCTGGGTGACCCACTGCAGTAAATCTGCTAAAATGGGATCTTGGGGATGAAGGCATGAGAGATTCACAGAAAGACGTCTGGCTCTTAATGGAGTTCATTGATCTGATTCTGAATCTTCAGTCATATTAAACTGCACGATGAACATGCCATTGGTAATGTTATGGGTAACATTACATTGACTATGTTCTAAATACTGTAGATGTGTGAGTGCATTGATTATTGTGTTGTTATATGTACACAACCGTTCAAAAGTCTGGGGACAGAAAGATTTTTTAATGCTTTTGAAAGAAGTCTTGTATACTCAACAATGGTGCATTTAGTTGATCAAAAATAAAGTAAAAAACGTTAATATTGTGAAATATTATTACTATTTAAAATAACAGTTTTATATTTTTATAATTTTTATTTATTTAATCGTGTGATGGCAAAACTGAATTTTCAGCATCATGATCCTTCAGAAATCATTCTAATATTCACTGTAAAAAATGATCGTGATTTTAACGGTAAAAGACTGTAAAAATGCTACAGTGCAAAACTGTTAATTGGTTAACAGAAAGTTTCCTTACTATATACGGTAAATAACTGTGATAGATCTAACGGTACATTTAATGTAATTTTACTGTAAAATACCGTTACATTTACAGTTTTTGAAAGTGAAAAGAACAACTTATTGTATAATTTACAGTGAAAAAACGTAAATTGACATTCCCACAATTCCCTGCATGACACTTCACATTTGATTTATTTTTGTTGAAATAACTATGTTTCTTCTTAGTTTTCTTAGTTCTTTTCTAATCAGTTATGTACATTAGGGTTTTATGTTACATTTAATGTTGTTAAATTGTTTATTGCATTTTTTAAATTTCATGTGTGTTACCATGATGGTGTTTAATGTTTGTGCGAATAACACTGTGCAGCTTCAATATAATAGTATTAACTTTCTTGTGGAAGATTGCTTGTGATGAGCTTTGATTCATCATGTGACTCTCATCACTGCTGTGATGATTGTTGGTTGTCAGTGTATTACAATGGTACAAAACAGATATTAATATTTCAATAGGTTGGTAAATTATCATTATATCAGATAATGAATTACGGTTGATTACTGTAAATTTTACGTTAAGTCTGTAAAACCAAAAACGTTGATACCGTTTTTTTGACGGTAAAGTTCTGGTAACCACAGCTACCAGTTTTTTCCATAAAAAACAACGGGATTTTTTTTTACAGTGTTGATCATTTAAAACTTTAACTTTATAAAGCAATTCTGATCCTTTTACGGTAATTTACTGTGTGAAAGGGGCTAATGATTCGGCTACACTGGATTTTCATTAAATAAGACCTTACATTTCGGCCTGTTCCTCACACAAAGCTTTCGAAAAACTTCAGAAGATCATGCACGAGTTGCACGGACACCTTTTGTGATGTTTTCATGGTGTTTTTGCTTCATTTTTGAAGCTTGAAGCCTTTTGTGTTCCATGGAAGAAATCAGCGTTTGGAACATCATGACTGGGAATAAATAATGACAGAATTTTAATTTTTGTTAAAATAACTGTTCCTTTAGCCCCTCGCCTGGCTTTGATTTCTGTCCCCTGAACTAAATGACCACCAAAGGGAATAGGCCGTTCCCTCTAAGGGATAAGAGGTTCCTTCGGGTACACGCAGATGAACAAAGGCTGATGAATAAAAACATGTATTACATGAAAGATGGATTCAAATGTGCCCTTTCAGATTTACATTTTTATAAATACAGCCCACTTTGGTTTTTGAGATCAAACACATTTGATCATTAGCAAACAGAATGTGTCCTAAGTTAGCACATACTCAAGACAGAGCTGTGGTGTTCATGACGTTTAAACCAAGCCCTCTTAACTGTCTGTAGTTGTGTTAAGAAAATAAATAATAGAAAAAGAAAAATCTACATCCAACTATCAATTATAAAGCTATTCGAAGTTGGCCGTCAAGGTGTTGCTGGTTAACTAAAACATGCTGGGACAAATAGTTTCCAGCCAAAATTTAGATCAATATTTAAATGCAACACTTCTGGAAAATCCTCTTCGATTTAACTGCAGATGGATTTGTAATTAAACAAGCTTCATTTGTTCCCTTGAGCTGGAATTTACTGCCATGTTGAAATATAATGTCTCCGATTTGCCTTTAGAGGTTGTGTTCTTCTTCTGTGGTTCTACAGCCTCTCCTGCATACTAAATATCTGCAGATCTCTCTGTCTAATATCAACTTAATGAAGTGTCAAAGAATCAGGCTGGAGGGAGTCATTCTTTATAGCTGCCAGAGTTTGGCAAGATGGAGTAGAGTGATGCGTAGCAGACTTGAAGTTGAAGGAGAAATTTACTACCGAGCAGGAGGTGCTGCATTAACAGTGCTTTATGTTTGAACACTCTACGGGTGACAATTTATCATGGTTTCTTCTTTAGTTGCTTTTTTTTTTTACCAGGGTTATGTGTACCCTAAGGGGGTACTTGAAAAGATTTTGCTTTGTTAAACCTACACTGCAAAAAATAGTAACTTGCAGTTGTTATCGTATGGAGCTACTTCCACCTGATCTAACCCTTGTATTATTATTTATATATGTATTTATTTATTTGTTGGCTCTTGTAACCTGATATATTTAGGTTCATTCAGTGATATTAAAAAATATGTTTGACTTATTAAAGTTAGATGTTACCACATTAGATGTAAGCAGGTTTTTAGGCTTACATTTATTCCAGTGTTTAAAACCAACCCTTTTTCCACTATCAAGAACCTTTTGTGCAATGGAAAGGTTCCATGAATGTTAAAGGTTCTTGGAACCATCAATGCCTATAAAGAACATTGATTTTTAAGAGTGTACGGGGTGAATTTGTCTGTACTTTATATCAATATTTGATGATCTTAACTTTGCACCTCTTTGGTTGTCAAAAATTCATAAGGAATCGTTTGTCTGTGTGTCCTCTGAAGAGCTGGTGTGTAACTGCAGCGGTGAAGCAGTGTCGGACCCTGATGAGTGTGACCGTGAGACGGGTCAGTGTGACTGTATCCCGGGTTACACGGGGCTGCAGTGTGAAGAGTGTGAGGAAGATCACTTCGCCAATGGCACCATCGACTGCCTGCCCTGTGCATGTGACTCCTTCGGTGCAGACAGCTCAAGCTGTGACAGGTGAGAGGCATTGTGGGAAAATTACATTCTTATGTGTCTTGCTATTGAAGTTTTTTTGTTTTATTTTTAAATCCAACATTTACAATAACCTTCAAAGGTTTGGGGTCTGCACGTTTTTGAAAGAATCTCTTATGCTCACCAAGGCTGCATTTATTTGATCAAAAATACAGTAATTCTGTGAAATATTAGTGCAATTCAAAATAACTATTTTCTATTCGAATATATGTTATTCCTTTGGTGGCTGAATTATTAGCAGCCACTCCAGTCTTCAGTGTCCTACAGAAATCATTCTAAAATTCTATTCCTCAACTCTTTTAGATTTAAAACGAAAACATTTACTATATTTAAGAATATAGAATCCTTTGAGAATGTTCCCAGATATCCCAAAAGGCAGGGTCTTGTAAGATTTAGCTAATTTTCTCCCTAAAGTATAGTTAAGTAAACGGATAATCAGGCAGATTAGCTCAATCCCGTATTGCTCCTTCTCAAAACCTTGAGGACATATCAGTTTCCTGTTGGCATATCTGTCCTGTGCTTTAACTGTTTAGAAGGTTTACAGAGAAACATACTGAGTATTGCCAGTTTGAGCCTAATTAAATGACATTCCCTGCAGGGAGCAGATTGTTGTGGTCTGGCTTTGTTTTGGGATGAGGCCGTGAAGTAATTGGCTTTTAGAGCCAGTAACCATGATTCCATAATCAGGATTAAGTCTAAATTTGTACATTTCTTTAAGGACAAATGTACAGTTTTGAGAATGATTTTAGCTGACTGCTCAAGTAAGATCAGTTTTGAACTGCAGCATAGAACTAGTCTTAGTCAAGTCTCAAATTATGAAGGTCAAAATTTATGATCTGTTATCAAATCCCCCCCCAAGCATTGATTCACTGGAGAAAGAGTTGATATCTAGCTGTAATAAGTTGGCCATTGTTCAGTTAGACCACCATATTTTAAGTTAGCAATAAAGCTTTGATGTTGCGTGATCTTTGTAATGAAGCTTCAAATAAAAATTCCATTTATACTGTACTTGGATGGCTACAGTTTTGTCTGTGAAACCATTGGTCTGCTAAGGCTGTTCTCCTACTGTGTTCATACCTCAAGAGCTCCTCAGGGAAATTATAATAGCCAACATGAGTCCATTGAATATTATGAGTTCTTATATTAGCATATCCTAATGAAATTCCAAGGCTTTTTTTTATTCTTAAAAGAGATTAGCTTCCCAATGAACAGCATAGTGCCCATGTTAAGATGCATCTACACATTTAAAAACTGCATGTGTGATGTACACAAATTATATGCTAATTTTCCAGAGGAGAGAATGTGTATGGTTATTGTAATCGTACAGTGGTGATTGCAGTTCTGCAACAGAAGAGATGCATTTCATAACTTGATTTGTAATGTGCACATACTGCATGCTTTATATCCATGGCCAGCTGTGTGTTCTTGTGTGTATCTGACTTTGTTGATGCAAGATTTAAGTAGTGTGGGAGGTAAATTGTCAGTTGTACACCATCAGTAGCACTGCATTCAATATTGGCTCTTGATTGGGATTATATTTATTTATTTCTTCTACATTTTAACATTTCTAAATTAATAATGTCCATTTACCGTCCCTTATGAAAAATAATACACTTAAGCATATTTATAAAAAAATATATATACTCAAGTGTGAACTGAATGTAATGTTTTTGGATACTTATTTACATTTTAATTGGAATTAAATGAAAATAGTTACAATTAATTTTTTTTTCGGGAGAAACGACACTCTCCGATATTTTAAATTGGACTGCAGTACCTATTTCGACCACTAGTCATGTCATTCTTACATGCTGCACCTTTAAGGCACAACACAAGCTTATTAAAACACTATGATTTCATATATACTTTAAATAAAACTTATAATTTTACATTATTATAAAGTGTTGAGAACTTAAATCTGGCATCCGCAAATGCACAGTAAAAAGTCTCTGTTTTTGGGTTGTTATATCATACTCAAGTAGGGCTGTTCAGCCAATCAGATTAAAGTCACCATGAAATCAGAATGAACAAATCTTATTTATTTATGGAATATTGCAGTATTATAAATTATTTATCCGTGCACATCATTGTTTTTTTTTATTTTTTATATGCATGTGCTGTCACAATCTTTAGTCAAAAATAAGTTCCCCTCCCTCTCTTCTCTTCTTTGTTGACGTTGTCTGACGCGAGGGCGGGACAACCTGACACTCAAATGACATCACAGCAATAGCAAACCACAACCATCCAATCAATTCCCGATGGACAAAATCAAGTCCCGCCCTACATTTTTTCTTGTTCGAGAAGCCATTTCACTCTGGTATACGTCACAATAAGGAAGAAAAGACTATCACTACTTCCGTTTTATGCTGACTTTATATGACTGGAATTAATTGTTCCCAAATCAGTCACCAATTAGTATACACTGTATGACATATCCAAAATAGGGATGCACCGCTATGAAAATTTTGGTCGATACCGATAACCAATAATTCTTTATATTTGAAAGTCGATAACCGATATATTGGCCGATAAATCTAAATCCACATTTTTATATAATTTTTGACAGCCTGATTACAAAAACAAAAGTCTCACCATTAAAAGCCATGTCCCAACCACACAATTATAATTTTATGTAGCCTATATTAACTGTATTTTCCAGTATTGTAGTGATTCTAATCATATTTCAAGCAATTCAAAACCATCAAGGCGAACAGTGCACATCTGAATTGTCTCAGCTGATGGAAATAATCCATTGTCAGCTTTAATATATCGGCCACATTTTCTTATCAGGCCGATAACGATAACATTAAAAATGAACATCGGCCGATACCGATAAGGTGGCCGACATATCATGCATCGCTAATCCAAAATATATATTGCTGTGTGGTTTAAGTAAGTGAGTAAAGTATGATGCAAGACAAGTAGAGGTTTTAATATCTGCACAACTTCAGTTGCTTAGAAACCAAATCTTCCATGCATTCTACACCCCTTCAGGAAAACATCTAAGCCTTTCACTTTAAAAGCACCAGGCGAGGTTCAGAGCACCCCAGTTCCACGGTTGACATGGTTGTGAAGGATGCAGGAAGGAGAATGATGCTGGCATCTCCATGGCAGCAGAGAGACAGAGAGAGGGAAGAGGGGATCCAGTCGTTGTGTAACACTGACCTAGTTAATATGCAGCTGATCTGCCCCAGGGTCTCTGAAACATTAATGAGTTTTCTGCTACTGCTGCCTGCTCAACGCAGTCTCTCTCTCTGAAAACACACTCGTACACACACATAAACAACCAATCCAAATGATTAAGGAAGCCCCTGGTGATGCTATTATGATATATTATATGTGTCAAGCCGGCTGCATTGAGTGCTTTAGCGTGCTTGCTTTGGCTATAATCTGGCTGTGCTGCCTGATGCTGGTCGATTTTTACTTTCAAATAGGCTTTATGCACAGCTTCACTACTTCCTGAACTTCAGCCAGCCCTTTGTTTCCTGTCTGTCATTATTGGACAAACTGATTAATCCAGGTGTGCCTGATTATTGTTACTGAGGCCAGGCACACCTGAATTAATCAGTTTGTCCAATAATGACAGACAGGAAATAAAGGGCTGGCTGAAGTTCAGGAAGTAGTGAAGCTGTGCATAAAGCCAATTGTTTTTATTTGATCAGTTTTAGTGTGTCAAATTATAAGGGGTTGTATTCAAACAAGCACAGTGACTAGCTGCATTTACATGGACTCTAATAATCCTATTGTAATCAGACTATAGCACAGTCGGGTGGGAAAAGTGACATGTAACCACGTTAATCGGAATAAATTGGCTAAATTTTATTCGGATTGTAAGTGAGTGGTTTAGCTTTTTCAGTCATGCAAGCACAGCTCCTATCTCTTTGAATGGGGAAACATCAAATTCTTCAAAGCTGATCACCAAGCTTATGATTAAATTTCATATTTGAAATCGCCAATGAAATCTGACAACAACTGTCTCATAGAAGACTTTACCAATCGGCGATTGGGTCTTTTAAATAGAAGGCGGAACTTATTCCGCCATATTGCACATTGCACTTTCTCCCGTTTGAAGTAATATGAGTGCACCATAATTGTTTAGGCCTATCTAAAGTATTTGATGAAGTGTTATAAATGAGTGTTGTCTAATTCTAAAAATTCCTGAGAAGTGGAGCAGGGCAGGATTTAGTGATCATGTAAACACTACTTGCGGATTCATCAATCGGAATGAATTCCATGTGTTCATGTAAAAGTAGCTACTTGACAAGTGATTAAATAGTTTTGATTAATTAACGCCTCATTAGAATATATCTTATTATTTAAGTCAGTCAAATTTTTCATTAATTGACAGTGTGATCCTAATTAGTTTAATTAAGTGTGATTAAACATTACTTGGAATGTTATGTTTTAGAACTCAAATAAGTAACGTATTTGGCTTTCAAAATATGTTTATATAAAAACATTAGTGTTTATGTACATTACTGTTTTACACATTCATACATAATACATTACTAAAGATTTGTGTGTTTTTGAAAGTGGTCTCTTATGTCCACCAAGGCTGCGTTTATTTGAGCAAAAATACAGTAAAACTGTAATGTTTGAAAATATTATTACAATTTAAAATAGCCATTTTCTATTTTAATATATTTTAAATATATCTCCGAATTTTCCGCATCATAGCTCCAGTCTTCAGCGTCACGTGATTTCTTCAGAAATCATTTTTATATGCTGATTTGTTGCTCAATAAACATTTATTATTATTATCAATGTTGAAAAAAGGTTTGCTGCTTAATATTTTTTTCAGGATTTTCTAAATAGAAAATCATTTTTTTTTTAAATCTTTTGTAACATTATAAATGTATTTAGGTCCAAGGTCCTACCTTGGTCGACTTATTGCGCTTTATTTCAACTGATTTAAATAATTAAGTGGAAACAATGATTCTTTAATCAAAGATCTGAGTTAAATCAACTTGCAAATAGTTACTTGA